TAAATGTTCATAAAAGGAAAGGGAAATAGCAAATCTTTCCGCATTAGGGCAAAAACATCTAATCTTCCCCAACAAAAAGGGTTAGGGGTTCAGTGAACAATAAATTCTTGTAAAGACGAGCCAGAAGTATACTTGGTTGGAAACTGCTTAGTTTTCACCTTCAGTCTTACTGAAGAAGGAGGTCACTGTGCTTTAACAATTATTATTTTTTTTTCTGATCATATTTTCCTTGAATTAAAAGGAGTGTCTTCAACATTAGCTAGTCAACGTCCACCAGCACTGCCAGGGGTGAACCTGAGGAGGGGAGGTGAGGGATTAAAGAAGACAGACAAGAGAACACAGTTGGAACAAGGTGGATCACTGCCTGGATGAGGAAACAGTGACACAGCCTGTAAGCCAAGCTTTATTTTATAGTCAGATCACACAAAGCAAAACAAGGGGAGTGGACAACATGTTTAAATGAATGTTCTTGGGAGTTTCAAATCTATTTCCTTACTCAAGCCTTCTTTTGGCAGCAACTGCTGGACCTCCCACAACCCATTAGGTACCTAGGAATAAAGGAGGACTATAAGGTCAAGCTTGTATGTGGCTCTGCCACAGGTCAGTTAGAGACTTGACCCTAAAGCCACTCCCTACATCTCTCCCCTTTTTTGTTTTTATTTACTTCCATTTACTTTATTCATTATAATCTTGGAATTATAAGCATTATTCCAAAGTTAGGAATTCTAAAAATTTTTAAACTACTACAATAAACATAAAACTGGAATATCAAGAACAAAAGGCTGGCTATTAATAAAACAATAACAAAACAATGCCAATGCAATACAGCAACAAGGGAGAAACCAAACTACAGATATTTTAACATTTTTAGGACTATTTCTACAAAATGAAAGTTTCTTTTGCGGCTGGTGTATATCTACTCAGAGTCCTGACATTTGGCTGCACAAGACTTTACAGAAACTGGCAGCTCACCAACACTATTAAGAAACATGGCTGAGAGAGTAGCTTCCACACCTTGCTTTTCTACCATCTGCTGGGCCTCAGTCCTTACCTTCTTCAGCTGATCCCATATTACGACCTTGGCCCCTTGCGTAACATCGTTATTTTTTTTCTTCCGCATCGCTATCATCCGGGCAACTCTCAGTCTTTTGAACAGAGGGACCAGGAGCTTCTTTGGGTCTACCATGGTGATGCACATAACGCTCTGGTACCCAAATTGGCTGCACTGCTCCTTATGGAAAGGAACAAACACAACCTCTGCCCCACAACATTACTGGATCTGGTCCAAACCATCGTCCAGTTTGTGAATCCTTCCCCCAGGCTAACTCAGCAGAGGCTACTGTACTGGAGGTCCAATGCCTTTCGGCTGCTGTACAATCCTCTGCATCATAATTCAAAAAAATTAGCACATGACATCCTTCTCCCCCTTTTGTTTGTGTAGAGAGTAGATCTTTGTGTCACCTCAGGGCCCTTGAGATGTCTCAAAGCTAAATTCTTGAAATATTACATTTGGAAAAGCTGTCAAGTATATTCAATTTAAATTTTTTCCGTACCCTCCTACTTTGCCTCAGGTGGGAAAAATAATGGTTTGTTAATTATAGGTAGGCCTGGCTGGCCTTTGCTTAAACTTCCCTGGTTTGCAACCTTTATAAATTTTACACTTTCACTGAACCTGCAAAGCCCCATGAGGTCCAGTGCCCATGAGCACATAAATTTTTAAAAATTTAATTTATTCCTTGTTTTTGTTCTTGTGCTATCTTCTACTTCTAGTTTTCTACTTAATCTGTATCTTCTAAGCAATATCTCAGTTAGTACCTTCACTATTTACATTTCAGTCCTCTTGACTTCCATTTTTAACTTTACAGTCCTGGCTTAGCTTTAAGCAAAATGCCCTGGCTTAGCATTAAGCATCACTATCAGGACTTCCATTTTGTGCTTTACACTTCTTAGACTCAACTTAAGAAATTTAAGAATTAGACTACACTTCTTTGAGCATTGTTTTAGAGATCACTTTCCTGAGATCCTGAATTTTCCATGTTTTAAACTCAGCGGCTACAAAATCTCGTTCCCTACATTACATTGACTTTCTGTGAGTGCTTCACTGGAGCATCCTTTCACCTTACAATTGTAGTTCCCCCTTACTCAAGCCCCATGTTCGAGCGCCACATGAGCCGTGTCCAGCATGGCCAGAGGTGAACCTGAGGAGGGGCAGTGAAGGATTAAAGAAGACAGAAAAGAGAATACAGTTGTGACGAGGTAGAATCACTGTGCCTGGATGAGGAAACAGTGACACAGCCTGTAAGCCAAAGCTTTATTTTATAGTCAGAGCACACAAAGCAAAACATGTTTCTTGCCAGTTTCACCTTGTTTTGCAGCACTTGCTGCACCTCCCACGGCCCTTTAGGTACCTAGGAACAAGTGAGGACTCTAAGATCAAGCTTAATTATACTAGAAGGGCTCTGCCCTCCAAGCTGGGACTTGTATGTGGCTCTGCCACAGGTCAGTCTGAGGCTTGACTCTACAGCCGCTCCCTACAGTTTTTTTTAAAACATGTTGCCAGTTCAATTGCAGGTCAGGGCATATGCTGGTTTTGGGCTTGATCCCTAGTTGGGGAGGTAGGAGGGAGAGTACAGGAGGCAGTGGATTGGTGTTCTGCTCTCACATCAATGTTTCCTCTCACATCAATGTTTCTCTCTGTCTCTCTCTCTCCCTTCCTTTGTCTCCAAAATCAATAAAAACATCCTTGATGCAGATTTTAAAAAGAAGACAAAATAAATATAAAAGTCATCTATACTAATAAAAGGATAACATGCTAATTAGACCAGATAGAATGGACATCTTCTGGCCAACCTTCCCAATGTCCTTCCTGACAAAGCCAGGGCCCGGGCAGTGCCTTCTGGGGTCCTGGGTGCTTGCAGCCACCCCAGGCAGCCCTGGCCTGGGTCTCAGGTGCCTGCAGCTGGCCAGAGGGAGGGAAGCCTGGGTTCCGGGTGCCTGCAGCCAACCAGAGAGAGGGAAGCCTGCGTCCCGGGTGTGAGGGCCAACACAGAGGCAGTTAGGAGCAATCAGGCAGGCAGGCGAGTGGTTAGGGGTGATCAGGAAGGAAATGGGGATAGGAGCGACCAGGCAGGCAGGCAGATGCAGTGGGTAATCAGGCAGGCAGGCAGGCAGGCAAGTGGTTAGGAGCCAGTGGTCCCGGATTGTGAGAGGGATGTCTGACTGCCAGTTTAGGCCCAATCCTGGCAGTCGGACATACCCCGAGGGGTCTCAGATTGCAAAAGCATGCAGGCCGGGCTGAGGGACCCCATCCAATGCATGAATTTTCATACACCGGGCCTCTAGTCCTATAGAATAAAAGGCTAATATTCAAATTGTCCCCTTAATTGGGAGTTCAACCAGGAGGACGAACAGGGGGTGCGGCTGGCTGGCCAACTGTCCGCAGCCTCTCCCTCCCGGCCAGCCAGACCCAACCAGACCTGATCAGGGCAGGCCGGCTGAACCCAACCTGTGCACAAATTTGTGCACCAGGCCTCTAGTATAACAATAAAAAATAAGCACTCAAGACTTGGTGATTAAGAAGATAAAGACCTGTTGGTTCTATCAAGCCCAAGCTTCCCTTTTTATCTAACTAAGCCATCTTAAGCTTGCCCTTTTTATCTAACTAAGCCATCTTAGTACTGTGTCCCCTCCCTGCACAGGTGCCTCCCCACCACCCAGCCCCTGTCCTTTCTCCTTTCTCTGGGCCCTGGCCACAGCCATCCTGAGGACTTTCTTCCCAGCCAATCCTTCCCTTCCTTCTGAATCCTTTCAGGGTCTCTGAGATGCAAAGAAGACTTCCTCTAGAGTCTCAGCTCAGTGGCTTCACGCTTTCTGTGCTGCTCTGGCTCTGGCTCTGGCACAGGCTCTGGCTCCCCATCCTAGACGTGGTTCAGGTCGCCTATTTTTTTGTGGGTGTCCGACTCTATCAGCCTCCGCCTTTCTCTATCCATTCGCTTCAGCTGAGACTGCTTGTTGGTAAATTTCCTCTTGTCTTTATCTCTGGCATCTGAAACTCAGCATTTACCTTAATAAATTATGGCCTCACACAACTTGCATTGCTCCCATCGGGGAATATGACACCCATGACAGCTCCTGTCGATGGTACCCTATGGCACGAGAATGAAAGGAAACAGACAACTAGGGCACGGGTGTTGGGAGAAACAGAAGTGAATCCCGCAGCTAAAGTGATGGAGGACTGGGGCACTTCCAAACTTGGGTACTTGTAGGGGCAACAGGACCCCCTGGCTGCAGAGCCCCGTCCATGCCCATCCTCGGCCACCACCCTTGCCCTCTGAGAGCCCCCTGAGCCCTAAATGGCTCCACACCTTGGTTGGCCCAGCCCTCACCCTGTCCCTCCCTCTAGGGCGGGTCCAACAGAGCCATAAAGCTCCAGAAAGAGCTCAGAAAAAGGCTGACTGCAGAGGCGAAAGGAGCAGAGCACACAGGTATGTTCTGATGGGCCATCGGGAGAGTCGAGAAGGGGATGACTGGCAGGGGAGGGAAGCGAGGCCTGGAGTGAGGGGCCAGGAGAAATGAAGACCCGAGAGACCCAGAAAGCCAGGGGCAACCTCCCGGAGGTGAGATGATAAAGGCTCAGTGGGGAGCTGGATGCTGTTCTCAGGTGGAGAGGAGCAGAGCACACTGGTCGCCACGTTCTCCCCTCTCGTGGTTTCAATGCCACAGTCCACACCCCAGCTGCCCACTGGGACACTACACACAGGACTGTGCTGGGGAGGATAAGCTTAAAGGGTCAGCAAGTCACCTCCCTCTTCTACAGAGCAGAAAGGCATTTGGGGATAAGCAGTTCTAAAAATGAGGGCCCAGCCAAGAAAAGACATTAGGAACTTAAATACATATTCCTGAGTGAACAAAGCCAGTCTGAAAAGGCTACAGACTGGTGAGCCCAACCTTCTGACATTCTGGAAAAGGCAAAAGTATGCATATAAATAGAACACAGTTATTAATCTTTATTTGATAAAGCTTCCCATGTGATTTCAAGTATAGTAGATCAACCTAATTTGGTTTAAAAATATTTCTTTTAAGAAGAGAGAATAAATCCTTGAATCATTCCAGGGCCCTTAAAATGTCCCAAAGCTATCTCACAGTTAAAGTCTTGATTTTAACTTGGAAAGACTATCAAATATACATAACCCAAAGATTATATTATACACTCTGTAATTAGTCTAAAAGATATCAATTAAATGTAAACCGGTTTTTATATTAAAAATTTGGTTCACACCATAGAATTAATCCTTTTTCTTTTAATCAGGCCAATAAAATATTATATCCTAGGTTGAAATTTTACCACACATAGTACATATAAAGACTACAATATATTTTGAATTACTAATTTTCTAAAGAAAATACAAGAATTATTTTTCTCAAAGATGAATTACTATACTTCATGTATTTTGTTATCACAATCATGTAATTTCTCTCAACTTAATTTGAACTTTAAACTCTTAGAAACCTCAAATTTTAGGTGGCAAGTTAAATACTTAGCGTTTCTTAGATTAGTAATATATTTATATTTTTAAGGCTATATTTCAAATAAAATACAAGACATATTTAAGTAATAGATTCAAATCTATGTTTTTAGATTTTTCATATGAGGCAAACTCAGATTAATATTCCAGTGTTTAGTCATTTTAAAATACCTAGATATTTAATAATTTGTATTATTTAATTCAGCAATGTTCTAAAGTTTTAAGTTACCAAAGACTTTGTAAAACTATATGTGAGGCTGGCAAATACCCCCGCCTGTCACGTGGAAGGCTGATGGAAAGGGAGGGGGAGGAGGGAGCAGGCCCATAGTCACTTTGATTTTAAAACTGCCACATTCCTCCTTAGAGATAACTTCTAAGGTTGCTGCTGCGGGAAACACAACTGGCTCTTTCCTCTAACACAATGCAGTCAGTCTCCCCTTGAGTGACTGGATAATAATATCATTATTAATGTATTTATAACTATTACTGAAAAGCTTTATTATAAACTAGAGGACTGGTGCATGAATTGGTGCACGGGTTGGGGTCCCTTGGGTGGCTTGCGGGGATCAGGCCGAAACCTGCAGTCCAACACCGCCTGCAGCTCCTACCTGCTGCTCCCACTCCCGCTCATCCGGCCCCACTGCGCCTGTCCTGGGTTCACGCCCAATCAGTCCCAATTGGGAGAGGTTTGCATTGCCACAGCAGCGCTCGCCAGCCATGAGCCTGTGTCTGGCGCCCTCTGAGGGGAGTGGCTTGCGGGATCAGGTCGAAAATGGCTTTCCGACATCCCCTGAGAGGTCCTGGATTGCAAGAGTCTCCAGGTCAGGCGAAGGGGCTCCACCAGTACACGATCAGAGCTGGAGAGGGACCGCAGGAGGGCTCCAGGGCATATCGGGCCCTGTAGCGCCCAGTCCGGATCAAGCTGATCTGGGGTGGGCTGATTGGGGCTGGCAGGTTGGGGAGGGATGCAGGAGGTTGGCCAGCTGGGGAGGGACTGTGGGAGGGCTCCAGGGCGTGTTCAGCCCATCTCAATCAGTCCTGATTGTCCGGACCCCAGCAGCACGCTAACCTACCAGTCCGAGTGTCTGCCCCCTGGTGGTCCATGCACATCATAGCGATGGGTCAACCAGTCGGCTGTCTGCCCCTAGTGGTCATTGCTTGTCATAGCTAGCGATTGAGCAGCCTTAGTATATCATTAGCATATTACACTCACTTTGGTTGAACAGTCCACTGGTCACTGGATGACCAGACACTTAGCATATTAGGCTTTTATTACATAGGATTCTTTATTTTTGTTACATCTATTTATTTATATTTTGATAACTTTAAGATTTTAAAGCCAATTACTATTATCCAAGGCATTTTCTTTGGCAAATTCTGTAACAGAGATAACTTATTGATTTTCAGTGGCTTTAATGTGAAAGTATTGATTTTTATTTTATAAAAACAGGAGTGCCCCAAGATTTGGGAGGCAACCTTGGAATGCGGTCCATTATTATTCAAGAACTACCCATTATTATGGAAACACTAATCTTGTTGCCCAAACACAGCCTGTATATTTTCTTTCTGTCATTATTGCCATTTTTTAAAGAAAAACAGTCTTGGATTTATTCTATAACATCCATGAAGAGATTGTACCACTCATATTTTTTCTCCCCGCCCCCACATCTTCTTTGCTTTGGGGAAATTTAGTAATGGCCTGTCCATCTACTGTTTCTTTTCTATTAAATTAAAATAAAGGCATGCTTAATAAACTAACAATAAACAACAGAGACAGATAACAATCAACAGACAAGCGCCCATAACATATTGATAAGAATTACTAAGTCAGAGTTCCTTTCATGGATCTTATCCTATTCTGCTCTCCATAGTATTGCCTGGCCTCTAAAATTATTTTAGCTAAAATTTGCTTGTCCAAAGGTGTCCTATGGTCATTTTCAGACAAAGCATTAAAGAGTCCTTTTGTGAAATAATTATTAGCCTCATTTTCTCTAGCTTTTGAGCCTTTCCACACTAGAGGCAGAAGATCCAGGGCTTTAGGTATTACAGAATTTTGACGCTCAATACGAAGTGGGCATAATGCAGTTCAAACAAGAGCCCACACACTTAAAGATGACAAGGGCACTTGTTTTCCTTGAGCCCGATTTAAGAGAATACACTCTGACACCTAAATTTCTTTATCCTTGACCATGCAAGCTAAAAATGAACAATGATGTTCCTGCTTTTTATTCAAATTCTTCCACATTATAGCCTGCCTGAAACAAAAGACGTTCCTCGTCCACTTATGGTTCATGACTCTGAAGCTGCAACGGGTTTTGTGCACAGTGAAATTCCCCACCTTTTCAGTGAACCTCCTACCTTTCCGGTGAATTTCATTTTTTCTTAGTTTTTCTTTCAGGTGAATCTTCTTCTCCTTCTCCCTTAAGAGTCACCAGATGTGAATGCCACATCCATTTGCGGCTAGAGTTCAGGATCTGGAAAAGGGGCCATGCACAAATGAATATACTATATAAGAAATGAATTTAGAAGGCATAGGGGGCCAGGCGAAGAACATTTCTCTAGTGGAGAGGCTCTCTGACTTCTGGGTCCCATTTGCTTTTATTCAATTGAACACACATTTGCCCTTTAGGAATGCATAAGGCATATCAAAGGTAAAGTTTGATAAACAGTAACAGGATTATCAGGGTAAAAATTGCCCTGAGCCATTTGGCCCACAGCAGGGCAATATTACCCTGATTTTCAGCCCTGCTGAATATCACATTGATAAGCTAACTACTGTTAGTCTCAGCCCACAGCAGTGGAGTTGCAGCCATTCTGAGATAATGCACGCATAAGGGGAAAGCGGAGTTGACATAGGTATGAAAATCTGCAGGACTAAACAAGGCTTACAGACAAGTGAGGAGAGTGTAGAATTAAAATCAATGGAAAGCACAGGCCTGAGCAGCCTAGGGCCCCCGCTGCACCAGCATGGCCACTGGCTGGCATGGCGGCCAAGGGACAAAGCTGTGTCTGTTGGGAAACTACGGGGCCAGCCTAATGGAAACCCATATCTTCCCATAAAACAACTGAGTTCATGTTTCCCACATTCTAGAGCCATGAGGCGAGAGAGTCCGGCCCTCAGCTGGGCCGTGGCTGCTGTCTTGATGCTGCAGACGCTGGCCATGGCGAACCACTCCCCACAGACCCTGGGCAGCCAAGCCGGGGTGTTCGCGGACCTGAGCACAGAGGAGCTGAAGGCCGTGCGCAGCTTCCTCTGGTCCCGGAAGGACCTGAGGCTGGAGCCCTCCCAGGGATCAACCATCGCCAAGAACACTGTGTTCCTCATTGAGATGCTGCTGCCCAGGAAGCAACAGGTGCTGAAATTTCTGGACCACGGTCAGAGGCGGCCGGCTCGGGAGGCGCGTGCCATCATCTTCTTCGGAGCTCAAGAGCATCCCAACATCACTGAGTTTGCCGTGGGGCCCCTGCCAAGGCCCCACTACCTGCGCACACTGCCCCCCAGGCCTGGGCACCAGATGTCCTGGACCTCCAGGCCCATCTCCTCGGCGGAATATGTCCAACTGAGCCACACCCTGGAGGAGGCCACCAGGCCCTTGCACCAATTTTTCCTGGACACCACGGGCTTCTCCTTCCAGGACTGCCACACCCGATGCCTGACTTTCACCGACGTGGCCCCTCGGGGCTTGGCCTCGGGCGAGCGCCGCACCTGGTTCATCTTGCAGCGCTTTGTGGAAGGCTTCTTCTTGCACCCCACAGGCCTGGAGGCC